CTCGGATCTTTACACTCACGCGTTGATATTTTGTGAGAGCGTGGTCTTTCTCTGGTCGAACCGAACCATTCGTGATACAACCGTAATATGGCTGCAGCGTGTTTCTACCACGTATATACGAGTAATATAAGATTTTATTTTTTTGAGAGAATCTAAGAAAAAAGAACTCACAGCCCACCTGATGTTCCATGGGTTGTACCAGTTGTAAGTGGTTGTTCCAGTGCGTATTGTTAGTGATGGCCTATGGATCTGAAGCGTAGTCCTTCACTGCCGGCCATATGAAGAAGCTCAAAGTCACTCAGCAAGCTACGGAGAGGGCTATGCTCGAATTTTCTCTGCGTGATAAACTTAGGAATGAGGATAGTGATAATGAGGAATGAGAAGTAGAACCACAACAACCAACATAGCCCAACGGATTAATAAGCTGAAGTGGCAATGGGTCGACCATATAGCTCGAAGAAACCACAACCGATGGGGAAAACATTTTCTCGTACCAGCATTTGAAATATAAGGCATCTCCCCACTAGATGGAGTGACGACCTTGTAAGATATGCAGGAAGTCTATGGATGGATGTGGCCCAAGACCGTGGCTACTGCAGTGCATGGACAGCTGCAGCCATAATATACGCTGGACTAAGATGTAATGTTCTACAACCTATAGCTACATTGGTTCTCTATACTAACTTCAAACGGAATACAGCAATGCGGGCATTACTTTGTGTGCTAGTTAACGGCTAACTCCTAGGCTGAAATGGGATCTTACTACCAAGTTAATATTGTTTACAACAATGACCCTCATTCTAAAGTTGCAGCAATTAGTAAATATGTTCTTTTTTCTTTAAAGTATCCTTTTTTTCTTTTTACCCCTATTCCAAGGTTTTTCTTATATCTTATATCCACTGTCATAGAGAACAATCTTTTTGTTACATGGTTAATATGCCCATATCACGCTAACCTACCATTACTCAACTCTTTCGTGACAGGGAACACTTTCAAACTGTCTCTAATATAGTTTGCTTTATTTAAAAAAAAAACTATAATAAAATATCAGCAGGGAATCAAATAATTCTTCTTATAAATAAGTATCATCGAATTGTGATTTCCGTACTTTAACAGTATTCGAACGAATAACCTACTTACAGAATAAACGGATATATTACAGGTTTTAATGGTCGCCGTTATTATGGCCCATAAGTAAGGTAATAAACGAAGTTTGATAGTAATAAGGAGATATGTCCGTGTGACTTTGAAAGATAATGATTTATTTCTTCTTCATCTTTAGGCTATCATCTTATTAGTATTCTAATGTGAAATAGGTTCACGCCTGAAAAACGCATTTGGAATAATTTCAGCCATCAATTCTCATCACTCCTCACGTTGCGATACAATTCTGAATACAATTTTTAATTTCAATAGCCTCACGAGTGTGCCTAGATCGGACCATAAGTAATTATAAAAAAACTGAAGGTACTCTGAAATACTACACTGACATCGGAATGTCAATTATGTCAGTTTTTTGTGACTATGGGTGCTGGAAAGCAACCAAAACGTCGGGAATTAAAAACGAATAAATTAAACGCGATAAAATCCGTAAAAGTAATTTTAATCAACTTTATCAATTGCTTAAATATTTATCGAATTTACTATTAACAGCGTTTTTACAGACCGATAAAACTAAGAAACCTTCAAGAAAATAATGGCAAATTTGCTGTGATTCCCCTGGTGTTGCAGTTGTGATTGGTGGAGAAGTGGTGGATAAATATATCATCGGGTGACTCGCATGCTCCCTTGACTCAACTTCTATAAAAAAGAAATCTCACATTTCGCATCTTTGATACTAGTCCCTGTTTTCAGTGTGGATATTTTATTTGAAAACAAAATTGTTAAAACGAAAGTTTACCCGACGGTAAGTACATGCTGTGGCCTATATACACTTCTCTTCTTCAATCCTCTATTAAGAATTAAAATGCTTATGCGCTTTAACCACTGAAAATTGTTATAGAAGAACTATTCGCTGGTATTCTGTGAAAGCGAGAAATGTTCTACGGTAAATTACTAATAATAACTACTACATTATGCTACAGCTATAGCTCATGCTATGACATAACATAAACTTTTTTCACTTAATTTTTGTATACAAATTTATTTGAACATTAACTTTGTTACAGACTTAACTCCGTGATTTTATAAAAATAGAAAGGACGATTCCGTTCCCGTAATTACTGTACTTTGACAATTTGACCCCACCTGTAGAATATCGTGTCGGTTGACTGCAAATTACAACGTAAAGGCCTCTTTTGTACGGGATACACATTAGCTTTACTGTATAATTATATTTTAAGTAGTGGAAAAGAAAGAACAACATGATAATAAAATCACAGTTTTTATTTCAATTTCTGAAAAATTCTTTCTCGTAGGCTGCAATAATAATGGTGTCCTCCAGACAGAATTTTGGATTGCAGTCGGGGCAGCCAATCTCAATGGCCAATCCAGCCATCTGAAATGATTATAATGTCTAAGTGGAGGCGCTAACACAGGTGACTTTTTATTTTCTTAGTCTCATAGACCGATGGGACGGTAATCCGACATGACCGGAGGGAGATTAGGCGGAAATGAAACACCACAAACTTCCTGACTCTTTCCTGACTGAATTTCTTGACAGAAAAACCCGTTCTTGACTCTGGTATCTCACCAAGGTTGTCCAAGGTTGTCCAAGGTTGTCCAGAAAGCCACCACTTTCACCTCTGCATAGGGAGGACTACTCAGGCCCATACCGCAAAAAGAAAACCGATCTTTTAAGTTCCTTATTGTGTCCAACTCGACTCTCGATGATGCGGTTAAGACATCGCTGATCATACTGGTGTGAGTGCTTTATGCCTGATGTGCGCAGTAGCTGTACGCAGTGCTCATTACGCAAAGCTCTCCTCTCCCTGGACATCCACAAGTCGATTGGGCCTGACGAAATCCTTCCAAATGTGCTCAAGACGTGTACTACGATGTTGGAACCAGTTTTAACGCATTTTTTCCGGTACTCTTCCTCCCTAGGTATAGTCCCCAATTCGTGGAAGACACCTATCTTGCACCCGATCTCTAAAAAGGTAACTGCTCTGATCCATCCAATTACAGACCTATCGCCATAACCTCCTTGTTCTCTAAAATAATGGAGCCCATCATTAACTGTCAGCTCATGCGGTATCTTGAAGAGTACCACCTCATTGGTGACTGCTAGTAGGCTTTCCGTTGGGTTTGTTCAGCTGGTGATCTCCTTGTTTACCTCATAATAATAATAAAATTCACCGCACTGAATTTCGATCACGACGGCCAGGCTCAAAGGAGACTAACCATTAGCGCAGGATAGGATTATAGTGCCCAAGTGTATGCGTAAGCACAGGTGCACTATCTATTCCCTCACTCTCATTATCCGATGGGACCGTAAACTGACACGATAGGAGAGAGATCAGAACCAACGGCTTTACGAGCTTTCCGAGGCAAAGGGGTGAGACACCGCCAACTTTCTGGCTCCGGGCAGCTACTGCGAATTTAATGACGGAAACACTCAATAATTGATTTTTTGGCCCAATCCCAGAACCACATGATCAGCAGTCGCACTACTACAACCAATAAACCAAAGAAACAGTCGTAACACACCAATTAGTGCAGGCGGTCGAGTCCAAGGGCCTTGGCGATTAGCTTGGAATAGCGAAAGCCTTCGATCGGGTTTATCACAAATCGCTTCTTTGGAAGCACCCTTCCTATAGGTTTCCCGTGAAATTGTTCAATTGGATTACCAGTGTTCTTGCCAGTCAGAGCATCAAGGTTCTAGTAGAAGATGCATGCTCCGATTACGAGCCTATCAATGCTGGTGTCCCACGAGGATGTGTGCTCATCACCAACGTTGTTTTCTCTACATATCAATTATATTATGTAGCAAAACAGTAGCATTCGTTGCTATGCGGACGACAGCGTTGATGATACTGGTTACACAGGCTTTTTATCAATATTTCTCGAGATCACGCCACTAAGTACCGGAGCAAACTAATTTCTGAAGTCGAGTCAATGTTAAACAAAGTCTCTGAGCGCTTATCGTTGAAAAAACTCCTTTAATGTATATCTTCAATTTCAAGGCACTTCCTTTGCTGTCCCAGTCGACAACGAAATCGAATGATGTGCAGTTTTGTGGTCACTTGGAAAGGAAGGTTAAATTGACCTCTAAAAAGTTTAACGTGTTCAGTAGAGCGGGAAAATATTTCATGCCGGCGCATCGCTTGCAACTTTACAAGGCCCAAGTTTAGCTTAATATGGAACAGTGTTCTCATCTCTGGGCTGGGGCACCCCAGTGTCAACTCCTTTTACGTGACTGCATCCAGCGCAAAAGCGACTCGAATCGTTGACGTCCAAGTTCTTTCCGATCGGTTCTATTCACTGGCGCTGCAAAGGGATATTGCAATCCTTTGCATTTTCTAGCGCATCTACCACAAGGAGTACCCTGGGGAATTGTTCGGATTAATTCCAGCCGCTAAATTTCACAAGCGCACATCGCGACAAAACTCATAATATCATACACACCATCTGGATGATTGGCTGTACATCACTGTGTGTTGTGAAATTGTTTAACACCGGCAATTTTTTTCCGGACTGTTATGACTTAGGGACTTTCGAGAAAAAAATTTACTTATTTCTAAAAGGTCAGCAATGCACTTGCGATTCTCTTGATGTTACATTTGTTCATGTGTAGCGGTATTCACCTACCATCAAGTGAACCGCATGCTTGGTTGCCCCCTATACTATAAAAAATACACGCAGTGATTTGCGCGTAGCCCCATAGCACACTAGCGTCGTTGCGCCGTAGCACCATAGCGCCCTAATACCGTCGCACCGTAGCACCATCTTGCCTTAGTGCCATAGCACAGAAGCACAATAGCCACGTAGCGTCGTAGGCATGCAGCGCTGTAACGAATAACGGACACTCAGTCCGTTATTCAGTAAAAAGATTTGTGCACATGTTTATTCAAGCGTTTCGTTTGGCGTAAGTAAAGTTAGAATCTCACTTAAATACCCGAATGAATGTAAACTGTTCTAACATTTAGTAGCAGTGTAAGAGAATCTACTATCATATATTATACCGTGTATATCGTAAAGAGGGGAATAAAACAGGAGATGGGAAGTAACAGTAAACATTATATATAATTATAATTAACAAAATAAATAATTATAATATTCAATTAAAATTAATTATAATTAACGAAATTAAACCCAAACCCAAGCATACCACTGCAAGACTTCATGATACCATAAGCTCGTTTTGTGGAAATCGGACCAAAAATTAATATTCAAAAACATAAGGTAGCCGGACTAACTATGACATTGGGACGTCAAACATCTCAGTCCCCCCTAGATCTTGGGTGCTGTAAAGCACCCGAAACGTCGGAATAATAAAAATAAGTCTAATCAGTGAGCAGTGAGCGCACGACACAGGCGCTCGCGTATAGCTAAACGTTTGCACTCTTGTTTACGTATCTACTATCTACGTCATACGACATACAACATATATCACCAACCTTTTTTTTCGTAACTGTAGTCATTGATACTGTTACTTCAACGATGAATATTTGTGAATCATGTTCAAATGAGTTCAATGATGGAGCGCAATGTTATGTTTGTAAAAAAACACTACGACTTTGGTTGTGCTGGTATAACGGAGCGAGATTTTCGGAACTTACGAGCAGATTGAAGAGCACAATGGAAATGCCTTCAGTGCAAAAAGGTTTCCTTCAGCCCCTCCCATCCAAGTTCTGAAGCCGCCCCTGGTGGCAATTCTGGTGGAGAGTCGGCGACCTTGGATGTTATTCTTAAGGATATTCGTGAGATGAAGAAGCTGGTCACAACAGTTTCAACTCTTATCGAAGACATCAAATCTATTAAAGTTGAATTAATCCATCTGAAGGAGTCTTGTGAGTACAACAGTAGTTCACTTAAATATTTTCAAGATCAAGTCTCCAGTTTGGAACGTGGTGTATCTCAGATTGAAAAGATTCAAAATTCTCTCGCTGTGGCCAACAAGGAAAATAAAGGGCATCCCCCTAAAACCCAATAAAAACCTATTTGTAATTGCGGAGTCTTGAGCATTTGGGTATGAATTCCAAAAATCTCAAATCAATTACATATCCCGAGTACCAATGTTTAATACCAAAGAGAAGGCCATCATTATCAATTTCATAAATCGTTATGTCAAAGAAGAATTTGTAGCAGCTGCACGCGCCTGCAAAACTCTAGAGGCGAAGGATGGTGGTTTTGGAGGTAATCGTCAACGCGTTTTCGTAAATGATCATTTGACTCCAGAGCACAAAAAACTTCTTACCAAAACAAGGACCTTAGCAAAAGACCGAGGTTATTCTTATATCTGGGTCAAATACGGAAAAATTCATGTTCGTAAAAATGATACTTCGCCGGTTTTAATTATTACTAAAGAGGCTGATTTAAACAAAATCATCATCATCATCATCATTACAGCCCTTCACAAGTCCACTGCTGAACATAGGCCTCCCCCAAGTAATGCCACAAAGCACGGTCCTGAGCCACCTGCATCCATCGACTTCCTGCATGTCTTACCAGGTCGTCACTCCATCTAGTGGGGGGTCGCCCTACACCACGCCTACCGGTACGAGGCTGCCACTCGAGAACCTTTCTTCCCCATCGGTTATCGGTTCTTCGAGCTATATGGCCGGCCCATTGCCACTTCAGCTTACTAATCCGTTGGGCTATGTCGGTCACTCTGGTTTTACTGCGGATATCCTCATTTCTGAGTCTATCACGCAGAGAAACTCCGAGCATAGCCCTCTCCATAGCTCGCTGAGCGACCTTAAGCGTCCTCATACGGCCAGCAGTGAAGGACCACGTCTCAGATCCGTAAGTCATCACTGGCAACACGCACTGGTTGTACAATCTAGTTTTTAGAGATTGAGGTATACCTGACGAAAAGATATGCCGTAATTTCCCGAACGCTGCCGAGCCGAGTTGAATCCGTCGATTGACCTCTCGGTCGAAGTTGGACTTACCTAGTCGGACTATTTGTCCCAGGTAAACGTATTCGTCAACAACTTCGAGCATAGTGCTCCCAACAACTACCGGCATAGGTGTGACATGGACATTGAACATGATCTTTGTTTTGTCCATGTTCATCTTAAGACCTATCCGTTGGGAGGCACTATTGAGGTCATTGAGCATAGTGCTTAAGTCCTCCAGCGATTCTGCCATAAGGACTATATCGTCGGCAAATCGAAGGTGAGTGATGTACTCGCCATTGATGTCAATACCGTATCCTTTCCAGTTCAGTAGCTTGAAAACGTCTTCCAATGCAGCGGTGAAGAGTTTCGGGGATATAACGTCACCCTGTCTTACACCTCTCTGCAGTTGGATAGGTTTCGAGCTCTGGTTCTGTACTCGGATAGCCATCGTAGCCCTACTGTACAAACACTTCAGCACTTCGATATACCGACAGTCAACTTGGCACCGCTGAAGGGACTGTAGCACCGCCCAAATTTCGACGGAATCAAAGGCTTTCTCATAGTCCACATACGCCAGGCAAAGTGGCAGATTGTACTCTTCAGTCTTCTGTACAATCTGCCGCAGGGTATGTATGTGGTCTATGGTACTGAAGCCTTTTCGGAAACCGGCTTGTTCGGGAGGCTGGAAGTCGTCAAGTCTGCGTGCGAGACGATTCGTAATGACTCTCGAAAACAGCACGTAGACGCGGCTCAGAAGGGAAATCGGTCTGTAGTTCTTTAAGAGAGCGTTGTCGCCTTTCTTAAAGAACAAGACCACCGCACTTCTGCTCCACGCCTCTGGAGTAGTGCCACCATGGAGGACGGAATTGAAGAGCTTCTGAAGGACTTCAAGTACCGGTGTTCCACCCGCTTTCAGAAGCTCCGCTGTAATTCCATCCTCGCCTGGGGCCCTGCCGTTTTTAAGGTGCTGGAGAGCCATTCTAATCTCGCTTAGACTGACTTCCGGGATATCATCGGAATAGTGTCGGATAAGACTTGCTCTTGGATCGTTACTCACACTTGCGTGTGGCTCCAACGATGATGTGTACAGCTGCCCATAGAACCTCTCAATCTCACTCAAAATCTCAGGTGTCCCGGAAACGATGTTGCCACACTCAGTCTTCAGCCTTGACAGTTGGCTCTTTCTGGCAGACAGATCTCTGGCAAAGACTTTGGAGCCCTGGTTCCGCTCGATCGCTTCTTTAATACGAGAAGTATTAAAGTTGCGTAAGTCTCGCCGTATGCATTTGGAGATCTGTCTGTTCAGTTGCCTGTATGCTGTCAAATCTGTTGACGATTGCAGCCTCATCTCCCGTCTAACAGCCATGAGATTAAGAGTGTGATCGGAGAGTTTTTGTGTTCTTCTGCGGCGGGTCTTGCAGAACTTAGCTCCGACCGCATGGACAGTTTCCACGAGCTTGTCGTTCATATCGTCCACTGCATTGCAATCTTCTAGGCACTGGAAGCGGTTACGTAACTCGAGCTGAAAGGTTTCGGGATTCTGGATTAGAGCACGAGGGGGACGGAGCGTTGACTTCATTAGACGAGACCTCTCCAACTTAACGTTTAGGTTCAGTGTGCCTCTAACCATTCGGTGATCGCTGCCAGTTTTCACCCTTGCGATCACTGAGACATCACTGAACAGTTGGCGTCTGGTCGTCATAATGAAGTCAATCTCATTTTTTGTCGAACCGTCGGGGCTCGACCAGGTCCACTTCCTGTGGGGCCGCTTCTGGAAGAAAGAGTTCATCATAAAGAGTCCCTCTTTCTCCATAAAGTCGGCCAGCTGCTGGCCCCTTCGGTTCCGTTGCCCTACTCCAAATTTCCCTACCTTCAGCTCACCGCTTTCTCTTGTGCCCAGTTTTGCGTTGAAGTCTCCCATCAACACCGTGTAGTAGGTTTTGGAGGAATGTATGGCTCTGGAAATATCCTCATACATTTCCTCCACCTCCTCATCGGGATGTGCCGAGGTTGGTGCGTAAACCTGAATGACCTTCAGCGAATACCGTTTGGTGATTCTGAGTATCAGGTACGCGACCCTCGTCGACACACTCCCAATCTTTACAACGTTGTTGACGAGAGATTTGTGGACAATAAATCCGACACCTCCTTGGGACAGATGGTCGCCCTCCCGGTGATAGAACAAGTTGCCGGACTCGAGGATTGCCGTGTCCTCCCCCTCTCTTCGGACCTCGGATAATCCAATAATATGCCAGCGCAACTTGTCTACCTCTTCTTCCAGCTCCAGTATCTTCTCGTCAGTCCTCAGGGTGCGTGCGTTATATGTTGCCAGGTCGAGTCGTCGTAGGTGGCAACCGAACCTCCACCGGAGATTCTTAGCACCCCCTGCCCCGCCGTTACCATGGTCGCCACCGTAGCCAGGAATAGCGGGCCGCCGGGGACTGGGGGCCGTCTGTTTGTGTATTTATTCATTGGGGGGTATTTGCCATAGTTGCCACGCTTGGCGAGCGGGTTGGCAACCGCAGTTTTTTATTACGTCACAGTTGTCATCAGGAAGACGCTGCTGCCCATCTCCTGCCTGTCTCCCTCTGTCGCCTCTTACGACACCCACGGGAAGATATGGGGTAGTGGATATTCTTAACCGCCACTACACGGCTAAAACAAAATAGTAAATTAAACAAAATAGTAAATTAAACAAAATAGCCTAATCTATTGTTTACTAATGTCTCTTTACATTACTTATTTTAATTTTATTAACAATTCTTACCTCTGTATAATTAAATTTTGCTTTTATGGAATTACGAAGCTGTTTTTAAAAAGTTACAAAATGCTTGTTACCCCTGCCTTACCTGCTTCGTTGACGCATCGCTATTTGTTAAAATTGCCTCTCTGTTATCAGTTGTTTGCTTCTGTTGACGGTCGCTTAAGTATGCATCATATTTTGCACTCATTAGATGATACAGTTTTATTTTTTCTACCCGTTTGTAAATATTATACGCTAACTTATTATAGTTTTAGTGAATTTTTAAATATTGGTATATTGTTTTCTAATTTTATTAACGGGTTTTTAAAATATGACGGGAGATATATATTCCTTTATTGTAGTAAAATTATCTTGGTTATTGATAGGCTTAAAAATGGCTATGCTACATAATAATAGTGTACGTGTAGGGTGTGGCAGTGACAACCTAAGAATATATTATCAGAACGCAAGAGGCTTGCACACTAAAACCGACATATTTTATAGTAATATTCTTTTATGTGATTATGATATAATATTAATTACGGAGACATGGCTCCTGGACAGAATTAGTGGTACGGAATTATTTGATAATCGATACGTTGTATGGTGGCGTGATAGGAATTACACAGTTACTGGTCAGAAATACGGTGGTGGTGTTTTCATTGCGACGCGTAAAGATCTAGAAGCTATCCCGCAGCCTTCCTTTCATTCAAGTGCTGAGGACCTATGGTTAACGTTGTCTATTCACCATATTACCCGTAAAAAAATACAAGAAGTTGCATATTTGTATTTTATATTTGTGTAACGAAAATCGGGGTCTCAGTTTTACTGCTCAACTTCAAAATTATTTGCACTCGGTTAGCGAAGTTGTCACGAGTCACTCGGACGATAGCTTTTTATTAGTGGGCGACTTTAATATTAGTGATATTATATGGGTGCCTGATATCGACGCCGCCGACGGTTCATTTTTAGGTACAAATTTTCGTTCGGGAAATGATATTTTATTAATAGATGAATTAAGCTCGCTAAATTTAAGACAATTTAATGGTATAAAAAGTGCCCATGGCAGGATCCTTGACCTTGTTTTTTCTAGCGACGCTGTAACCGTTCGTGATTTAAGTGGGGATTCTCTTATTCCTATTGATCTTTATCATGGTGCCCTTTTAATATCTTCTGATAACGTTGATTGTGACTCATTAAATAGTAATTCTCGCCTTAAGTTCTTATATCATAAAGGTGGCTATTATTAATTAAATGGTGAGATTGCCTATATCCAATGGGGTGAAGTTATGTCTCCGTTATCCTTAGATGAATCTGTTCAATACTTTTATAGCACACTAACGTCAC